ATCAATGATTTTTAATTTTTATTTCAATATTTTTTCCAAAAAGATCAGTTATTAAATACATTTTTCATGTAAACTTAAGGAGAAACTAGGCAAGTAGTTTTAATTGATAGAGAAGAAAGATTGGTAACAGACTTTGGCAGAGCAATACATTATGTGTCAGGTTACTCTCAATACTACCAAATGAACAAAATCACTACGTAAAATTAAGAAATATAGCACTGAAATAGAGAAAAACATCAACTTTAGTTTACAACTGTTCATCTGATACTGAGAACACCATTTGTACCTATCTTTTGGAACTGGCTCTTACCCGAAGACCAATTTTTCCTCTATTTCCTTTATCACCTGGAAATTAATGATCCCAACATCTCTGGGTCTTCTTTTTACCAACATCTTTTTACCAACATCTCTGGGTCTTCTTTTGTAACACATCCTTAATTTTAATGTGTTCCATTCCTCTGAATGCTCAAGTCTGATTTTACCCATCCTTGGCAATGGTATCAGTTTAAACTCTCCTGCACCCCACATTCACTCATATATATATACACGCACATCATATGTGTATACACACACACACACACACACACGTAAAAACAACTGGCTTTAGTTATATTGGCAGGTTAAAATTTTAGTCATAATTATTTACCAAGCAAGCTGACCAACACCTGGGTGTCTGGCAATAGATTGGGTTATTAGAAAATGAAACCAAAAGCCACAGTGGTTTTTGGTCTCTACACCTGCAGTGCTAACAGTCAGCAAAGTGGAAAACAGAACTTATCACAAAAAGTGTGTCCTTTTATCTCAGATAAGTTTACTCATGAGATCAAACACCTCCTAAAAGGAAAGGAACATTTATTAAGTACGAGAACTGAAGAACGCTCCAGTTCAAGAACTCTCTTGGAGCTACACAATCTCATTTAATTCAACAACAACTTTATTGAGGAGTAATTATCCTCCTTATACAGATTAGGGAACCTACCCTCAGTAATCCTGCCACTAAGTATGAACCAGGTTTTGAACCAAGACTTACTAGATTTCAAAGCAAATATTGTTAGTACTTACAAAATTTTAAGGACAGATAACTAAACAACACATAGAACAGTGATGATGAACCTTTTAGAGCTTTTAATGATATAAGCAGCCCACTGCAGCATGTATGCTGTAGGTTCACCACTGATATAGAAGAACCAGTACAATCCCTTTATGTTACAGATGAAGATGAAGCCTAAAGTGACAGAGATTTGCCCAGAGACAATGTTTGTAGTAAAATGGGGATCTAAATTCAAGTTTTCTGATTTCTGGTGCAGTAATGTGTCCAATGATGATCACTACCTTCAAGTGTGTGTGTGTGTGTGTGTGTGTGTGTGTGTGAGAGAGAGAGAGAGAGAGAGAGAGAGAGAGAGAGAGAGAGGTACGCATTTGGGGTTGAATGCCCCTCTTGATATAATTTATAACATTGCAAATGTCTCCAAATGAAATTTATATCCGTGGCCACTTAGGGATGTACATTTTTAGGAACCTAAAATTTTAAATTATTAAAACTACTGGTCAAGAATAATAACTTGATTGGTGCTTATGAATTACTACATGCGGTTAAGTTATCTCTCCAAAATATTTATTTATTCAGTCATGTGCCTATAGTGTACTGACTGACTGGCAATAAAAATACAACTTATATACGACAGAAGGAGTCCATTTACAGCCTGGTGGAAGATACAGACAAACAGGCAATTACAATGCAGTGGGGTCAACGCTATAGCAGCAGAAATACAAGATGCCATAGGAACAGGAAGAGGGTCACACAGCCCAAACTGGTCTTTTCAAAGGAGGAGAGGACAAAGATGAGTAGGAGTCATTTAGTTAAGTGAGGAGTATTATGTACACATATGTTTCAGGAAGTACAAACAGCATTTGCTCATGAGACCATGCAAAGACCAGGGGAGTTGCAGGAGTAGGGAGAAGAAATGAATCTAATTAGAGAAGAGATCATCCAGGGCCTTGAAATCATGGGTTTTATAATCTTGTTGATCAGAATTACCAAAACTTTAAAACAAACAAACAACATACAGATGGGGGGGCTCCAACCCAGATCAATTAAATCAGACTCTCTGAGGATAAGACTCCAGAATTAGTATTTTTTAAGCTCCTTAGATGATTCTCACATGTAGCCAGAATTTAAAAACCATTGTTTAAACTGTAAAGGACATTTAACATACATATTTATTACTACAAATATGGGAGAAGGGGATTGCAAGAAATTAGATCTCTCTGGGCCTAGTTTCTGTAGTCTGACTAAAAATGAGCTGTAGCAGATTAGAGTAGATAACGTGGAAGAAGTCTAAAAATTTGGTTTTGTTGATGAGTATCACCAGCCACCTGTCTGGCCTCAGATAATATCATTTCCTAGAGACAGTAATACTGCTCTGTCTACAGGATTGTTACATAGCTCAAGAGTACAAACACTTAAAAAAAGAAACTATGTGATTCACCATAAAATAAGTCATGATATTGTAACTTATGCTCCTAAGGTTGAATAGTTTCCAAAATCATAAACATTGTTACAGGAGATGAAATCCTTCCTGAAGCTAAAGAAACACATTTCATTTTAAAAATCACTCTTACTTTGGAATTCAAGATACAGAATAATAAAATAGAGAAGTGATTCTTTTACCATTACTCTAGCTGCTAAAGACATCAAATGGGATTACATTTGCTTTCTTCAAATAAACAGATTAACAGAGCAAATGCCCTTCCCATGGTAATTACAACTCTTAAAAAAATTTTTTATTCAGTAAACAGCTAATAGGAAATAAATTACATATAAAGTAACTTTTTAGGAAAAAAAGTCACTGTGATCTACTTTTAAAAAGTATTTTATTTCTAAATTTAGGTGTTTTTTGAGGGAATCCTGACTTGAGATATGGAGGATCTTATCCTGACAGGAAGGAAGCTCTGCCTCCAGGACTGTTCCATGCAAAGCCATTGCTCTTTTACAACCTCTCTTGTAAATATATGTAGCTCTGTGACAGTGTACACTTTCACGAGGTCATTTTTCGGTTTAAGTAACTATTTGTATGCAATGTCCCCTCTTAAGCACTACATATAATTAATTTTTTAAAACTTTAAATAAAACCACTGTCCTGTATTTACACGTGGTTTATTTTTAATTATTTAATTTCAAGCGACAGGAATACATTTCAAACTTTGTACTCAGTCAATGATAAAATGTTGGTATTTGTTACTTTCTTAATTCCCTCATGATACTGTTGCCATTCTGATGTTCTATCATTTCTTTCAATCACCTATTCTATGATTTCATAAGGGAAGCACTTGTTTTGAGAAATGCACAAAAACTTTTGGAGAGTTATGAATAAAATTTTATTTACTTCTCTCATCCAAAAACACAGTCCCAAAAGATGAGATGAAAAAACTTTAAAAACACCACCTACCCCCCTCCACTCCCCACAGGGCCCTCCTCAGGTAATTTTGACTGATGACACTGCAGAACAGTTAATCTGATAATTAAAATTTTCCACAGCATGTGATGTTTAGATGGAGATCTAGCTAGAATTCAGTGCTGTCAACCAGAATTCAGTGCTTCGATAAAAAAAAAAAAAAAAAACGAATACGCAGACATGCTAATAAATTCTTAGACTGCAGTTGCTTTGATAGCCTATTAATAAAAACACTGGGTAGTCTGATTTCACCAAACTAATTTAGTAACCCGGGATCTTAAGTATTTTCCAGGACTTTCCTTACAACACCCATCCAGCACATAAATTCTGTACGGCGCAATGTAAACAACCAAGGGACTCTCGTTTCCAAGCAGGAAAACATCCGACCAACATTGCCTAACGTGGTTCAAAAGTTGCAGGAGAAATCACCAGTCTTGAGTTACCAGAAATTTATCTAACCAAGTTTTCCAGGGGTTCTTCCCGGCCTTACAAACTACCGTCCACAACACCACCCCGAAAATCCACGCTCCGCATGTTCACAAAAGCGCAGTGGTGGAATGAGGAAGCTTCGCCAAGACGAAATCACAACTCTAATTCATTAAAAAATATGCAGACGGTTCCACAGAGCCCTTTTGTTGTGCTTTCTCACTCCACACGGCGACGTGAACGGCTCCCCAATTACTGACATCTAGGAAAATAGCTTTCGATTCCCAAGTCTCGTAACAGGGTTGGCCACCATCACCACTACTTCTCTAGCACCCTCAAATAAACCCCTCAAGCCGCGGTCAAAACACGCTAGCTGAAACGTCTGGGGTTTACCCAGCCCAAGCCTGGGCGCTACCCTATCTTCCCGAGCCACTTCGGAGCTCGGCGACAGGCATCGCGTAACAGACCTAGGACACAAGGCACCCGAGACCACGGCTCGGGTCTATGAATGAAAAGCCCGAACGTGCGATCGTCTCGTTAAAAGGAAAAAACAACCTCGAGAGGAAGGGTGGGAGGGGAGCCGCGCGATGGGGGAGCGCGGCTCCTTGCAAACCCCTGCCGGGCGATTTAAACCCGGGCGAGGCGGCCGCAGGGCCGCAGGGCGGGCGGCCG